TTAAAAAATGACCTTTTTTGGTAGCAGGTAACAATTTATTTCTTGCCTTCAGTCCTGCTGCTGGAAGAAGCAGGAAGCTTTAGCAGGAAGGTACGATAAGTGCAGGACAAACCTGTCAGACAGACAGAAGCGGCTCGGCTGTGGGGCTGCGCTGGCCATAGCTGAGCCCTCCCCAGTCGCACCTGGCCAGAGCCGCCTCGGGATGTTTATTAAGTCATCTCTGGTGTGGTTTTTGGTTTGTGCTGGGAAGGGGTGCCTTCTGAGCCTGTGAGGCCTGGCGTTCTGCCCTGGAGTCCTGGAGGCCTCCAGCCACCCTCTGTGCCACCTCCTGAAGGCCAGAGAAGGCAGAGGTATGCCCAGCCAGCCCGGCCTGGGAGACCTTTCTCATCTCAGTTCAGGGCTGTCCAAGAGACTGCGTGCAGCCGAGGCTCTGGGCTCTTCCTCCCACTGAAAGACGTGCCTCCAGCTCCGAGTAGTTTTGTGCAGACTGATCTCCCAGCCCTGCCCAAGGACACGTCCTGCATCAACTCCCTGCCAGACTCTAGAGGAACTCAGGAGAATCCATGCTCTTGGAAGGCATTTCTTGGGTGCCCAGTTGACACTCCCAAACCCTAGGACTCAGTTTCCTGCTGTGAAGAGGATGTTGGAAAAGCACTGGTGTCAGAGGCGTTGGAAGGCACAACACTATGTGCAGGGGGGTCACCCAGTCTGCCCGCTGCGTGGCTAACAGACCTGATCAGACGTGAGGAACGAAGGACTGGGCCGGTTTCTGTATATCGGTTAGGCATTAAGCATGTCTGCAGCATGGAAAGAGTCAAGAATGCTCTTCCAGAGCTGCCCCGTCAGGGTACATGCCAAGCCTGACGCGGTTGTAGACCTACAGCCGTGCCTTCGAAGGGCCTGGCTACCCACATGGCCACTCGGCCACCCCTCCACGGTTCATCTTCGTGGTGCCCTGATTCCGCTAGCCAGAGCCCCGTGTCTGGCTGCCCTGGCTGCTGGCACAGTGCCTGGTAGGTGCCAGCCAGAGCTGGGCAGGACGTCCAGTGCTTAGGTGGATGCCAAGAACCTGTGTCTCCTGGAGCAGTTTCATTTAGATTGGGCTCAGTCACCTTCCACTCTGCCCGCTTCCCCAGGTGGGATGCCACCACGTTCCCTTCACATTCTCGTTAGTATCAGTGCCATGAAATGCCAGCTTTACGCAGGAAGGACAGTTTTCCCTTGAATAACTCCCAGGCTCACGATGCTGCGAAGCTGCGGGTCCCCTCTGACGTGTCTGGGCGAGGCACCGCCACCTGCCTCAGAATCCTTGCACGGGTTTGTTTCCTGGAGCATTTTACCACATCTCTCCATCCCAGTTTGGTTTGAAGGACAAACCTGAATAGAGTTCAACACTGGAATGTTCTTTCTGCAAGCCCAGGAGGGGAATGGGCTGCGGCTGCTTCTCGAAACGACTCCCAGCTCAGGGCTCACACAGGGCTTGCCGATGCACGGGCAGCCTGGGCGCTCCTCTCCCACGCCCCCACCACCACCCTGCCCCCAAAGGCAGTGCCCCTGGGGTCATCACAGGTGCATTTCTCTCGAAGAAACCCTTAAACCAAACCACCTGTGGTTTCATGTCCGCTGTATGAAGGTACCCAGTGCTTTCTATTGTCATAGGTAAGAAAGCTCAAGGAAGCCAGAGTCATTTCTCAGCTACTCATGCCAAGTTTAAAAAAAAAAAAAGTGAAAGGGCACCAGTGTCATGATACTCTGCCATGATTACGCTTACTGATACCGAGTAACATCCTGGAAGATGGTCTGAGGTGGGGTGACGCTGCCGTGTCCCCTCTGCCTTGTCCCGGCTGGCTCGGGGCAGCTCTGTCTGGTCCCCGCCTGCAGGGCCAGCTTTCCGGCTGCCATGTGGCCCCCATGCATGGCTGCCTTCCTGGAGGTGGTGCGGTTGGCCACCGGGGCCTGCATTTTGGAGGTAGGCAAGTTGGAAGGCGCCCGGGGAAGACATGGCTGTGGGATTCCAGTGAGCGTGGGCCACAGAGCCCGTAATTATCGGGGCTTCAAGCCCGTCAGCAGGGAAACATGGAGAAACTCCCCCGTAATAAGAGCGGCTGTTAGTGGATCTGTGGTGCTGTCACAGCGTGCGGCTCTCAGAGGCGAACAAAGCTGTTGGAGGAGAGGGCAGGGCAGGGAATAAATTTCATTTTATTGTAGAAATGGAAATTTGTGTCATAGCTTTAAAAACCCAGTTTTATGTGTGTGTTTAATGCCATTCATTTTAAATGCAGTATCATAAATCCTTGCTTCAGAATCAAAGCTGTTTAATTACATTTCACCCATGAATAGTTATCTAATGCCAATAGAGAAAGAGTTAAACAGGAGAACTACAGAGTAAATCGGAGGTTGAGATCTTTAGCACAAGCATAAAAAATCAATTTAAGATGAGTTTTACTACTATAAAAATTCTTCAGATATCCTTTTAAGAGTGGGAAATGCTAGGAAACGCAGCTCCCATTCAGTCCCCTCTGTGACATGGAGGACACGGTTGTTGGGGTAGATGGGGCGCAGGTGCCTGGGCAAGTGCCCAGATAAAGAGCTCTAACGCTTGAAGCACAGGCCGCTGGGGCGTCCAGAAACCCCTGCCTCTCAGGTGAAGATGCCCTGTTTCCCGAGGAGGCCCGTTTGCAGTGTGCGTGCAGGCCAGGCAGGCCCCAGGACCAACACTTGCTTTTGCTGCATCCTTGACCACTTGGCACTGCAGAAGGCACCTGGCCACGGTGGTACGGTGCGGGGTCGTGAGGCAGTCCCTGTGCCCCTCTCGCTTCCTGGGGAGGTAAGTCCCCCACTGGCTGGGCACTGACATCAGCTCCTTAGACTCGTCACCGCCTGCGTGTGCGCAGCCCTGTGCAGTTCACGGTGACTTTGCCCCTGGGCTCCTTTCCTTCATCTGCCCTCCGCGCTCCCTCGCTCTCCTTGCAACCCTGAGCAGGATGGCAGAGCACGTGACGCACTGCTGCGTCGCTGCCCTTGGGTGTCAGCAGTACACCTTCCGCGCAGTGAGCACAGGACAGAGCACGAATAGAGGCCTGAGAACTTCTCTCAAGTTGAGTGGCACTTAAACCAAACGCTGGCAGTTTTCCCTTGACCAGACGTGCTCATGGCCAAGATCTTGACAGGAGGGCGGTTCTGCCCACCCCCTTCCCCCAGGTGTTTGACATGCCGCTCTGTCCCCTGCCTCGGGCCCCACCACACCTATGAGCTGGCAGCCCAGGGGGCCTGAGACAGGTCACCCAGGAGCCCTCCTGGCTCTGGGCACAGGCCTGTCTGCGTGGGCCCCTCTCTCAGAGCCCTGGGAACGGCAGCCCCTCAGAGGCCCGGGCTGCCGTCCCCAGGCCTGTCCGTCCTGCTCTGTCCGGCTCTGCAGAGCTCAGGGCTCCACCATCCTCAGCCCGGTCACTCTGGTGGACTCATTCCTTCTCCCCTTTGTTCCCTGGTTCCTTCCTCAACACCGTCCAGGTTCGTGTGCTGAGAAAGCCCCCTGTTCCATTCTGGTAAAGAGTGTAGAGCGAACCTCTGTGCAGCCTGTCCGAGGAAGCTTATTTCTGAGAAGCTGCAAGGACTTCGGCAGAGACTCAGACCTGCCACTGCCATCCATGGCTCAGAGACGGGGACTCCAGCAGGATAGCTGATGAGTCCCTGCGTCAGGTAGTTGCTCCCCGCTGCTTGCAGGATGAAGCCCACGTCTCTGGATCTGCAGCATCCTGAACGTGTGCTTGTCCAGCCCTTACGCACCTTGCCCATACCTGTGCTGGGAGAATGGTGGCCTCTCCATCTCACTCGGACTCTCGTCGTGGCAGCAAGTGGTGAAGAATGCAGCCTGTAGATTGAAGCCCACTCCCTGCCCCCGGGACGCAGGTGGGGAGGCGTGAAAGGCCCAGGAAGAGCCTCCAGTGCCACAGTATCTAAGCAGGAGATTCTGTCCTCCAGGCCTCAGAGCCACAAGGAAGTGCCACCTGCCCAGGCCTTCAGAGGTAGGAAGGAGAGCTACCTGAGGACTTAGTGCTGGTGCTATGGGGGTGTGGGGTCCCAGAAAATTGAGATAGAAACTGGATTCATCATAAAACTCTAGGACTCAGAAGCAGCAAAGTAAACCCTCTCTGCAGGGATGTTGTCACAATCCAGCAGAGGACACCCTGGAAAATCAGCCCCTGCTGAGGATGAGGGGCAGCTTGGAGGTCCCACAGACAGAAGAATTAGCACCCCAAGTAGAAGAAACAAGGAACTCCTGAAGCAAGTCTGAAGCACACTGGTTTAAATGTAAGAAATTGAAGACTGGTGACCAAGCAAGGGAACGTGAAAAAGAGCCAAATAGGTTGTATGGCCCCAGGCATCAAAGTCACAGCATCGTAACTGAAAGAAGTTGCACCGAACAACTTACACGTGCATTAGACGCTCTGCAGCGTGAGAGTCAGCAGCCCCGAGCGAACTCGGAGGAAACCCCCCCACAGAGCGAGGGGAAGCGCCTGGATGCGCCCTTGCGCAGTGGAGCGGGCAGGAGGGAGGGTGTCGGGCCGGGCAATTTCTTTGGTGGTATTTCTGGAAGATACTTTGATGCCAAATACTCGGTGATGTTATGAAAATGATGCAAATAAGTGTCTATTAGTCTTGCAAAGGGGCGGCGCACTCCCGCGGGGGCAGCTACCGCGCTTCTCGTCCTTGCTGTCACATCCTGCTCGCCTTCTGAGCCCAAGTGGAAGAGCCCCTGCACTAGGACGTCCCTCCTGTTTTCAAAGGCGGGTTGTGTGTCTTAAAGCTACCGGTGGAGACGCGGACACCCTCAGCCCTCCAGGCCACTCTTACTGCGGAACAGCTGCTGCGCAGCTTGTCAGGAGGCACGTACCCAGGAAGCAGCTATAGACTTGACTCGTGGATTTTTCTGTTGGCTTCTCAGGTGTGTAGAGGTAAGGCACTGAGGGTTATTAAGCTCCTGTTACCCCCTTTTGCAGCCCCTCGGAGGCCCCCACTCCTCCCGAGCTTCTCAACAGCCCTGGAGAAACGACAGAGCCTCTGATGCAGTGTACAGCCTGGCTGGATGCCTATTTCCACGAGCCCAGGGTCCTCAGCGAGCGCCCCGTGCCTGCGATTCACCATCCCCTTTTCCAGCAAGGTCAGTAACTCAGCATCTCACAGTGTTGTGTTCAGGGAGCTTGACTTATTAACTATCACTTACATCACAGCTCATTTTACTGACTATACTAAGTTGGTATTTTTACATCATCTAAACAGAGACAGCATGTGGCCGTGCTGTAAGGACAAGAGTTCACAATCTCCACCCATTCCAAATGGTCGTGTTAGTTTTGGCACGTGGTCACACAATTCTTGGCAAAGGCAGTAAAAATGATGCATGCAGATTGACTCTTGACTCTTGCTGGCTGGAAGGTTTAACTAGGAACACATCTGAATAGCAGTGAATTTTTCAATAAGCTTTTTGTTAACTTAAACTATCTGCTTGCCAACAGCACAGAAAATGAGGCTTGTGCATGGACAATTAGCCACTTCCATAAACTCAGTTGTTGACATATCTAGAGCGGGTAGCAGCATTGTGTCATGTCAGATAAGTTTTCAGTATAATTTCTCAAACTTACGATAATTAGGTATTTTATTCTTAAAGGCCTAATTCAGAACTTGTTGCCTAAATGTAGTCTGCTAAAGGCATGTAGTCTCTGATATCCAAAAACATGTTCCCATTCGTGTCTTTCTAAGCTTCTCTTTGAATCTTATGGCAGCTAGTATCATTCTTGACACACACCAGAGATTTATTTTGTATAGTGATTTTGTTGGAGTTGTTTCAATGTAAATGCAGATACATAGATATATAAATGCAGATATACAGGTACATAGATATAGATGTATACACATTTTTTAAGCAAAAAGTTACCCTGGTATTTTAGGTAAGGTAAGTCTAAAGCAGTCTTGATTTCAGAATGGAATTAGTAAATAAGTATAATGGTATTCTAATTGCTGCTATGATTTTTAGCAAAAAGGAACTTGCAAATGGAGTGGAATTTTCAGGAAAGTGGGGAGCAGCATACCTGAAAGTTGAGCTGATACCCTGAGCTAACACAGCCAGACAAGTGAACAGGCAGGACCTCAAACATGTCCCCACGTAATGAGCCGAACCTGTCCTGCTGTCATGAACAGGCACTTCCCTCTGGAACCACCCCCGGGTAGATTCTTTCTGTGACGGCTCCAGAATTTCTGTAAGGGCATTTCTAGGGCAGGGGCGGGGACTGGAGCAGGCCTTGGCGGGACACCCCCTCATGTCCGGGAGCTCCCCAGTCTGCATCCTCCAGGGCCCCTCCCCAGCACCATGAGTCCACAAGCTGGCTTGAGGGTTGTGGTGACACTCGTGTGCAGCCCCCAAGTGCCAGGCTCAGGCCGGGGGTGCTGAGAGACTCACATGTGGTTTTGTTTTTAAAGTCGGGGCTGGGGAATCTGTGGGCACTGACCTCCTATTGGCTGTCACCATTAGGGGGTTACAGCTCTGCCAGCAGCCCCATGAAAGAACTGCCCAGTCAGCTGTCCTCTCTTGGTGTCTATTGGATAGGCTAAAATTTCAGGTTTTGAGAATTTCAGGACAGGAATTATCTATAATGTAGGGAAGGTGGGGCGTGTGAGCTTGTAAAATCCTGAAGTCCTGTCTTCAGTGCTTGCAGAGAGGGTTGAGACTCACTACACTTAGCCTGCCTCCCTGCCTGTGGGCCCATAGGGGCCTCTCCTCAGCCGGCTGGTCCGGGTCCATCAGAAGACTGGACAAGCTGGGAGCAGCCACTGGGGTAGGGATGAAGGCCATTCAGCCACCAGGTAGCCCTTCCCCCATTGGACAAGCCCTGCATCCTGGTAGGCCCTTCTGACTGGGATGTGGTTCCCTCCAGCCAGGTTTAGGGTTCGTCGGGGGAGCCTCTACACCCTCCTGGGGACAGAGCCCCTCGCCAGGCCTGCCTGCTGACAGTGGTTGCTGTGAGGCCAAGATTTCCCATGGCACAGCATGTGCAAGCCAGGTTTTTCTAATTTATCTCAGTCACTCCTGGGCAGCAACCAGGTGCAGGGATTTTACAGTTTAAGGAGGGAGAGTGGTGCACGGTTATACTGCAATTGCTAGCATGCAGTTAATTGGCACTAACCCCCAGATGCAATCACAGCCCCTCTGTCCAACGATAGTTGGCTTTGCTCTGTTTCTGCTTTATCTTGTAGCACGAGTGAAATTATGGTGAGTAACCCCCAGGAAAATCTAACAACCTCAGAGTGCTCCGGAAGCTGTGGGTCAACATGAGCAAATAAATAAGCCTTCTTTGCAAACTAGGAGGAATGGGCACATTTTAAAGTGCAACACATTTTCCCCTAAGTTCTCTTTGTCATGCATCTTAATTTTTGAGCATGTTGAACATACTTCTGTGTGTCACTTTTTCCTCATATTCCCAACTCTGAGATATAGTCCAGGTCTACCTATTTCAGCTTGTTTAAAAAATGCAGTCATAACCAAGTTCATCCTTAAGTGCCGACATCTTTTCCCGTTCTTCCTAACGTTGTAGGACTTGTGAACTCTGCCAGGCCTCTGTCGCCTGTTCCTCAGGCCCACCTGTGGCCTCCCGAGCAGCTGGCAGGCGCCTCACGGGATGAGCAGAACAGCCTGGCCTTCTCACAATCCACCAGTTGTTCATTTTTAAGGCTAGTTACAAAATATACGTGCCTAGTGGAGCCATATGAAATTGCCATTTCCACAGGTTAAAACTTAACAAATGTTGAGAATTTCACAAAGTCCAGTTTCTTATCTTGTAAGCTTCCAAAAGTTTGATTAGTAACAAGTTCATTATCTGGACGTTCCTGTGGAGGAACCATTAAGTTCCTTTCCTGCCTCCTCCTGGGGCCAGACAGGCAGGATTCCTCGGGGAGCCGGTAAGGAGCCTGCAGTCCCTGGGGGGTGAGGTTCCTCCTGCCGTTGGAGAAGTGGACAGGACAGGTGAGTGTCAAATGAAATGTGTTCGGATTCTCATGAGATTGTGGTTGTAGCAGGGCATTTTCTTTAAAAATAAAAGTTTTATGTGGTCTTGGGGGTCTTGTTTTTTGCTCATCTAGTTCCTTAAGAGCGTCAGTAGCATCACTTGTCCCGGCCGCACTGGCTGTCCCGCGGCCCAGCAGAGCTGTTGAGAGGGTCCGGGTGCTCCCTATAAACCTCTTGCAAAGGTCACTTTTGTTTATTTGAAATTGATTTTTCTCTAAGAAATAGTTATTTAATGAAGCCATTATTCTTGAAATAAATCTTTAATGTTTCTTTCATAATGAAATATCACTTAAATTTCTGTTAACAGTCCCTAACTTCTTTATATTTACTTACTTTAAAAAACTGACCAACTTTGTGAGATATCCATCTTCAAAGAGCCTTAGAGGTCAGGGGCGAAAGTGGCTAGAACACTAGAAGTAGCCCTTTGCTAGTAGTGGTATTTCACAGAGAGTTCAAGAAAAGCAGACCTGAGAAAGCTAAGATGGGGCTTCAGGTTCACAGTGTGTGTAGACACTTCTATAGATTCAGGATGTGCGTGGACACTTGCTGCAGATTCTAGGTATGTGTGGGCGCATCCCTCCCATTCGAAGCCCTTCAGCCTGTGGGGAGCCTTAGCAGGCGTGGCCAACAGGCCGCAGGTGGTCTGGGGATGGGGGCAGGAGGGCCTCTGCCGTTTCTGCCAGGCTGGCCTGGGGCATCCAGGAAAGGCCAGGCCCTGTGCTGTGGACCCCCAGCCCCGGGGCACAGGTGGTGCGGACCTCAGCTGGCCCTCCCTGTGTCGCCTCAGAGATGATGGCTCTGAGTTTTCTTTTCAAAGTGACTGTGATGTCCCCTTTTAAATGAAATATGTAACACTGTAGTAATTCCTTCGTCACAGCTATTAGCTCGTAGCTATGAAATCCAGTGGTGTGACAGTAGTAAAATCTGTATTTTTTGAACCTCTGGAAGTAAGTTTCTTGTAACTTCTGTTACAGAGCCTCAAAAGGGGAACTCGTATCTTTACCTCTGTCAGCCCTCTTTCCAAAGGGCCTCTAGGGAGAGCCCTGCCAGGGAGGTCTGGGAAAGGCCCTTCCAGGCTGCACTCGCCCCACTGTCTCCTGGGAGGTGCTCCCGCTGTGCCTGGTGCCCTCAGCAGAGGCTGTGTGAGTCCTGGAAGGCAGGTGGGCCACAACAGGGAAGGGAATGACATCACTACCTCAAGTCGTCACCAGAGCCCACCCTTTAGAATTCAAAATCTGTCTTAGAGAGCCAAGCCAGGGCTAAGTGTCTCAGGCCAGCCCGCAGCCTTCCCAGGGCGCACGGCTCCTCGGCCCTCCGGGCTGTGCTCCATCCAGGAAGTAGCCAGGACCCTCTGCCAGGCCAGGCAGGCAGTCTCCCCAGAAAGGGGGCGCTGAGCCCTGTGCCTGCCGGCGTCCTGGCGCTGGTCCGGGTGTGCATGTTGGCTTTGCAAGGTGCGAATCCAGCCTGAGTGTGTCTCCAGAGTGGTTGCAGCAGAGAGGGAGGGAGGTTTTCTCTGGCCTCCTCGTAGATCCACAGCAGGAAGCAGCTTTGTGCTTTCAGACAGTTTGTACAGATTTTTTCCCTGAACTTAAATTTACCAATATAAAGAGAATATAATAGCTAAAAGAGGGGATGCGTTTGCCATTTCTGGTTGGCAGCCACTACTGTTCTCCCGTATTTTAAATGAGGGCTTAGCTTATAAAAATTATTGACCTTGCTCAAGTATTACCTGGAGGAGCTGGAAGGTTTGTAAACCTTCCAATGCCCACTATTGATCAGAACAAGCTAACAAGCTAACAACACTGCACTTAAATTAAGTGGGAAAGAAACAGCTGGTAGAAGTGTACTTCTTTGAACCCTAGAGTGGCTGAGCTGCTTTTCAGGGTCAGCAAATGTGGAAATCTGGGTCTAAGGCTTTCTGAGGCTGAAGCTGAGAAAAGTGAGAAGGAAAACAGGATCAAAAGCCTGAGAGCGGATAGCAGGCCACGCAGGTCAAGTCCCTAGCAAGATTGTCCCATGTCATGAATCAATACGGAGGCCGCTGCCAGGGGCAGCTCCCTGCTGCTATGGACAGTGACACCCAGTCCATGTGTGCGGTTTAGAAC